GGGGGGGGCGGGTGCAGCCGAGCCGCGCACTCCCCACCGCCGCGAGCGGGAGCACGTGGCGTCGGGCGCTCTCGTCTCCTCTCGTCTCCTCTCTTTTGGTCCGCACCGCCGCGAGCCAGAGCATGCAGTTTGACGTGCGGTTCAGATCGGTGACGAGGCGGTACATGAGGACGGCGGAGGCGGCGGCGCGCCACGAGGAGGCGTAGTACTGCACCTGCAGCCGCCGCACCGCGTGGAACTGCGACGCCCTCGAGTCGGGCGACAGCTGCGCGTACGCGGACGGGTCGAGCCGCCGCCGCTGCGTCGGCCGGCCGTCCTCCTCGTCCTCGTCCTCCTCGTCTTGGAAGTCTGGGTCGTTGAGGATGTGCTCCTGCTCGACGAGCGCGGCGAGATCCTCGTTCGGCTCGTCATCGTGGAGCACGCACAGCCTCTCACCACACGTCGCCTGCCCAGCAGGCGGCGGGCCGGTCAGGGCGGAGCAGCTGGGTGGGGCGGCGGGGCGGCGGGGCGGCGGGTCACATTCTCAACAGCGACAGGTCGGTGCGAGTCCAAAATCCAAAAGCGGCACTCAGGGTGCGGCGTCTCATCGAAGGAGCGCGGCCCGCCCGCCCGCTCCGCATCCATCTCCGCCAGCCTGGTGCCGAGCATGTCAAACAGGTCGACAATCGCTCCGCACTGCAGCAGCACAATGTTGCGCAGCTCTGCATCGTCTACGATGTCGTTCTCGAAGACCTCGCCGAGTGCGCCTGCAGAGGCGGCGCGCGCGGTGAGGACGCGCCGACGCCACACCGTGGCACGCGTGTCGCGGCGTGCACCGTAGTCCTTAATCGGCTTCACCTTGTGCGGTATCTCGTCCTGCTCGAGCAGCTTCTGCGAGGGATGGGGCCGGGCGGCGGTGGGCGGCGTGCGGGTGCGGCGGTGCCGCGATGGCTCGTAGACAGGCGGCCGGGCGAACCAAGCGTGCCGAGCGTACCGTCAGCATCGCGCACGTGACAACCCCATCGGCCTCAAGCGAGACGAGGATGAGCACCGTGACGGCGGCGGGGCTCGCGGCAGAGCATTCCCTGATCCGCTGGTACAGCTGCGCCACATCGTCACGCCGGTACAGCATCGTGGGCGCAGCGCCCCGTGCCGCCCCGTGCCGCCAGCGCCCCCCGACTAGCAGACGGTGTCCTTCTTCGCGCCTCGCTCGCGTCGCACCCAACGGTAATCTTACAGCGGGTCCCCGCCACCTCGCGGGTGTGAGGCAGCCGGAAATGCTGGGGCGAGCCAAACCGCAAGCTCTTTTCCACAGCAGGCAGGAAGTACCTCGCAGTACCCGCTGGCTGCGATCCGCCGCCCGTGCCGCGTGCGTGCGTGAGAGAGAGAGAGAGAGCGCGCGCCGCGCACGCAGGACCGTGCGTGGGGCTGGCGTGGGGCAGACAGGGGGTCGCCTGAGGCTGAGCTCACCTCGATCGGTCGATCGTCTCCCCGCGCCCCCGGCCCCGCGGGAGGCCGTGCATGCGCGCATTGAGCTCGGTCGTATGCGTCGATTGTGCCGGCCCCGCGGCCCCCAGCACCTGCGCGCGCTCCGTGGTTGACACCTCTTGACTCTTGAGCTTGTTTGTACGTGTACCCGCGTGAGTATCTTTTCCCAGAGAAATGCTTGCTTGCTCTAGATGTATCTTGTATGCGAGTGTACCACACCTCACCTTGCCACATGTTGGATGTCCTCCACCTCGGGCTCCGATGGCGTGAAGCGTCAACACAGCATACACGACACACAGGCCTCCTCGACGATGAGCTCCCCCGCGCGGCGCATAAGCTAGTCGCAGAGCAGCCCCCGCACACACAACACGTACTAGCAGCGAATAACGCGCGATTCGTTAGCAGGGGGGGAGCGGGCCCATGGGGTCTTCAGTGGCTCGGTCTACTAGTTTTCAGGCTCAGCTCCGGACTCATTAGATAATGTCGTTATCATAGCCGGTCTCCTGTCGACGGCTTTGCACATAGTCCTGACCGGGCTTTGCACACAGAGGTTTTGACTTGGTTGCGTCACTCAACACCAGATCGCGCGATGCCGCATTCTTGAAGAACGAGAGGAGAAGATCGCAACCGTTCTTGATCTTCTTGCCAAACTCGCCTGCTTGCGGGCCAAAGGTTTCGCCGCACTGCTTGGCTGCTGCACTTCCCTTTGTGTTCAGGCACACATCGACCTTATCGAGGAAATCGTCGAACCCCATCCGTCACGACCCGCGGCGGGCGCGCGGCGAACTACCTCCTTCCCCCCGAAAAGAATTTGCGAAGTTGCCCAAGTGCTCCTGACAGCAGACAGGGAGACAGGCGCGGACTGGCACGTGCTGGTTCAGCAAAGACAGTCCGACACACAGGTCCGTCACAAGTGCCAAAAGATCGCGATGCAATCTCTTTCTTCTTCTAAATGTCTTTTATTTCTTCTTGATCTTGTTCCGCGTCTCCGTCCAGATGTAGCATGTAAAGGGTGTGGACCGTGAGTTCAGGAAGAAAGGGGGGCGCGACCCACTTCGCCACAGACGGTCCCGCGCCTCGCCGCTAAGACGGGTACCTAGACGGGTACACGACCGCGGCTTGTGTGCGTGTAGCCGTCTTTGTCCGGAGTGAATACTCCAACGCGCTCGTCGGTGACGGTGTCCTTCAACCTGCGCCGCGCTCGGCGAACCTCAACAGCGCCTTCGGTGGCATGCAGCTCTTTGCGACAGAAGCCTGGAGAGCAGCTCCTCTGCTGCTCACACCGTCACACACATCACACTCTGCACAGTTGACACAACCTACTGTGCGGCTGCCACAGCTGTGACAGCGATGGGCTCGCACTCACTGGCGTGGCCCCCAGTCACTTGTGCTGCGGCTTGGACCTTGGTGTGAGCGACACTGCTCGGCGAGCCGACTGCCGGCACACGCTGTGAGACCATGGGTGTGAGGAGGTTAAACCACCCTACCAGCGCTTGGTCACATCGGCCCCGAGGTCAGATCCTTCTACTCTGCGTTGATGACAAGACTTGTCTACTGCGGTACTGGCTGGAGCCGAGCCCAGGAGGGCCCAGCGCACAATCCCTGGTCAACTCAGGCGGTACTGAGACGAAGACAGTGCGGTGTTGTCAGTTGTCACAGGGTGAGAGTGACCCGGACTGGCCAGATCCCCCTTTGTGCTTTGATGATCCAGTACGAGCAGCACCTATCATCATGCATGAGGATCCACATACATACACATCATGAGGAGCGACCCGACAATTGTCTATGCATATGCTCGTGCTGCCCTCGAGTGCTGCCCGCGGCTCGCTGCACATAGTGTGTGTGTGCCCGCTCCTCCAAGCTCCACGAGTCAGCAACCGAGCGGTCTCGGCGCGCCGTTCTCCTTTCTCTGTGTCCTTAGCTTGCTAAGGACTCTGTTCCGTCTCAGCTCTCGCTACTTGTTCTCGGCCGAAGTGTGTCGTCATCGTCGTCATCATCGTCGTCGTCATCATCGTCGTCGTCGTCGTCGTCGTCGTCGTCGTCGTCGTCGTCGTCGCTCCCACGAAGAAGTGCGACAAGAGCACTCTCATCCTCCTCCTCCTCCTCGCTATCCCCGCCCTCGCCGCCTTTCTCCTCGACGCCGCCCTCATCGCCGCTGCCGCCGCCTTCACCGCCGCCCTCTCTTCCTCCGCCGCCGCGCCGGGCCTGCGCGCGCCGCGCTGCCTGCACGCAAGGGCGCGTCTCGGTCGATCTCGACTCATCTCAGCCAGCCCCGGCTAATCTCGCCCGATCTCGGGCCCTGATCTCGGCCCGATCTCGGGCTGATCTCGGCCCGATCTCGGCCAATCTCCCGCCTGATCGCGAGTCACAGATGCGTGGCAGGGCGTGCAGAGCGTGCGCAAGTTGCCGAGGCCGCAGCAGCCCCCCCCATCGTGCACCGCCACCACATGGTCCGCCTCGTCGCAGGTCAGGGGTGTGAGCGGCGCCTCTCACCGCTTCCTGGTTCGCGACGGTCCTTATGCTCCGCTCGACGTGTGCGACTCTCGGCGAATCTCGACGAATCGCGAATCTCAACGAATCTCGGCACTCGTGCCCCGGTCGACGAAATGCAGCTCCCGGCCGATCTCGACGAGCCTGATCGATCTCGACGGTATCTCGGCTACATCCCAGCTAACTCCCCTTCGCCTGCCAGAACGAGCCCTCGCGCACGCGCACCCTCCGCTTGCCAGAGAGCTTCGCGTGCCTGGAAAGAGGTCGCGCCATGTGCAGCGAGACGAGCCGAGGGGAGCCGAGAGGTGCCGAGGAGAGCAGAGAGGAGCCGAGGGGAGCAGAGAGGAGCCGAGGGGAGCAGAGAGGAGCAGAGAGGAGCCGAGGGGAGCCGAGGGGAGCCGAGGGGAGCCGAGAGGTGCCGAGGAGAGCAGAGAGGAGCCGAGGGGAGCAGAGAGGAGCCGAGGGGAGCAGAGAGGAGCAGAGAGGAGCCGAGGGGAGCCGAGGGGAGCCGAGGGGAGCCGAGGGGAGCCGAGGGGAGCCGAGGGGAGCCGAGGGGAGCCGAGGGGAGCCGAGGGGAGCCGAGGGGAGCCGAGGGGAGCCGAGGGGAGCCGAGGGGAGCCGAGGGGAGCCGAGGGGAGCCGAGGGGAGCCGAGGGGAGCCGAGGGGAGCCGAGGGGAGCCGAGGGGAGCCGAGGGGAGCCGAGGGGAGCCGAGGGGAGCAGAGAGGAGCCGAGGGGAGCCGAGGGGAGCAGAGAGGAGCCGAGGGGAGCCGAGGGGAGCCGAGGGGAGCCGAGGGGAGCCGAGGGGAGCGTGCGCCTAGGAGAAGGACGCAGCCGCGAGATGAGCACGAGATGTTCCATCCCTGACGCGCGTGAAG